GTCACTGTGTGCTGGACACCATAGGGGTTCTTCAGGGTGAACTCAAAGAACTCGGCCGTCCCCAGCACGGCGTGCACGGTGTGGGTGGCGGGGATGGCCCGGCTGGGCATCTGAGAGATGCTCTCACCCTTGATGTGCTCCCGGTAGGCGTCGATGATCTGCAGGTCCCGCACATGCTGGGCGCACTGCTCCTGCCAGCCCTACTGGGAGGGAGGGGACCATAAGCCTGGAGCCACCACGGTATCCCCGGCCCCTGGAGCCCCTCTCCTCACCAAAAGCTGGGGCGTCCTCCCGCTGCCGGCGTTCTCCTGCTGCCGCACCAGCGCCATGCGCCGCAGCTTGCGCCGGCGGGCAGCTGCGGCCTCGCTGGGGGCAGCCGGGGGGGCCAACCTCGCCTCCGGCCAGCGGCTGTGCCACCCCACCCGCCAGCTCCCCGTGCACCTCAGCCAGCCTCCGTGCCCGCGACACCCGCCCGCCTGTGGGGAGAGAGCACCGTGCTACCGACGAGGCACCCCCAATTAGCGCAGCCCCGAGGGCCCCCCGCAATGCTGCGGGGCTGGGAAGGGGAGCGCCGGAGGGGGCAGCCACCCCACGGCTGGGGGCAAAGCGCCAGCACCACGGCGGCAGAGACTCTGCCAACCTGAACCCACGCAGGGGGACGGGCTGAGCCCCAGCCCGGCAGGACTCACCACCGCCCGGCCCGGGATGCTGCTGGTGCGATGCTGGCATTTTTTTTTCCCCATCCGATGCTGGCAGGGGGCGGGAGCGGGACGGCGGCTGCCCTGGGGTCTCCTCGCATGGGTGGCCTGCCACAAGCACAGTCAGGGGTGAGTGGAAGCCATCCATTTTTCATCTATTGCAAATTTTTATCCTTCACTGCAGCTCTTTACAGACAATTTAAAAAAGCAGGAGCAAATATCTGGTTGCTAACGATGCTCTGCGAGCCCTACGGCCATCCCTCCAGAGCCTATTGCCGTTACCACCATACAGCCATCTGCCCAGAGATGGAACAGCATCAAAAGCACGGCACCACCCCGAGCGAGTCACCACCGAGCCCCTCACCAGCTCTGGTTTTCATTTCTGCATTCTCCATCCCTGGGCTGCAGCGCTGCTGCCGGCACGGCCACGCACCGCCACGTCTCTCCGCTCCTGCTGCCATCCATGCTCCCACAAAGGTTATGCCAAGTGGAGCTGGACAAGGCTCTAAACCCAGCAGGTATTTACCCAGCCTACGAATCCCGTCCCCATCCTTCGGGCAGGGGCACCAAGCTTTTCAATACTGTTTTTAACAACAGTATTTTGAAATTTAAAGGGGGGGGGGAGGGGGGGGGGGAGGGCGGGAACAGAAAAAAACCCACAACCCCCAAGGGTGGCTATTGTCCCGGTGCAGCATCTCTGCTTCCTCTCTCCCTCTCCTCTTTTGCGGGGTGCGAGTTAAACCTCTCCCTGGGTTGTGAATCTCAGATTCTCCTTCCCAGAAGCTTATCGCCCCTTCGCAGGCAAAGTATGGAAACGACGATTTAAGTTATCTTATAATGGAGCTAATCTTTCTTCTGAGGATAAGATTTTAAAACCTGGAGTCACTGTACATTTATAGGACGGGGAATTAAATACATAAAATGAAAGCAGCCAGAAGGTTCTGGGAAGAATAACGTTCTTACAAGCGTGGTTTTCTTTTGGGTACAGCCCTGTGCATTTCTCCCGCGGCCCCATGCTGTTTGCCAGCACCTAACTGCACGGTGCTGACCCTGCACCGCTGGCCTCCCAGTCGCCTTGCGCCGGCGTTTGCAGCTGAGCAGGCGGAAGGGACCGCAAGCACAACCAGGACCCGCACGCCCCTGCCCACAGCCCAGCGTCACCCAGAGCCAAGCGGCCGGTGCCAGGATGGGGGCTCCAACTGGCACCAGAGGTACTCGGCGAGGGGCGCGTGCCGTGGGGCGCCAGTGCCGGCACCCAAGCCTTTTGGCCCCGTGAGCAGCGGGCTCTTACCGACGTTGGCCAGGCAGAGGTGGAGGTGGCCCCTCACCACCACACGGACACCAAGGGGCCGCAGGGCGCCGTGCCGCAGCGCCTCCCGGCCCATCACCGTCACGTCCGGCTCGTACTCGGTCGTGGCCACCTCCAGCTCGTGGTGGGTCCTGACGGCCGCCCGGCCCTGGCGCAGCAGGGGCTGGGGACAAGGCAAGGATGGGCGAGGGGTAACAAGTTACCAGGGAGTCCGGTCTGGGGGGTTAAGGGGTCTGGGTAAGGATGTCTCTGGATGTCCTAAGTGTGGGGGGTTTAGCCCTAGAATACTGCAGGAGTTCCAGGGAAGTGGAAGAAAGTTGACGTTTTGCCATCACTTTCGAGGAGATGACAAATCCCACGATTAGGGGCTTGTCAGGCTGGCATCAGTCTCAGTTACACAGAGGGGCTGACAGCAACTCGATTACTGAAGACACGAGGGTAATGCAACAGCATCTCAACACAGGGCCCAGGGAAAAGTCAGGCTCTTCCTTAACACTCCTGCACACTAAGCGGGGTGTCTCCTTCATCATTAGCAGTCCTGAGGGCTTACGAAGAAAGACCTTCAATTTAACCGATACCTCCAGTTTAACGGCAGCAGACCCAACAAGGAGCAGGGAGTCTCCATCCCAGACGTCAATCTGGAGGCTGTGCTCGGCCAGGTACCGCACAAACCAGCGCTGCTCCCCGGGTCGCAGGAAAGCCGGATCTACCATGTACTTCAGCTGCAAGCCCGGTGGTCCTGCGAGACATGTGGCATTGTCACGGAAACGGAGCTTCCGCCGGCACCGGCACATCAGCTGGGACAGGGACTTCTTCTGCTCCGGAGAAGCCCGCCTGCTCGCACACCCACTCTCCTCCACTTAATGAACCCGTTGGTCAACTAGTAAGGTCCAAGGTCCCCCGGGATTGGCACCTCCCACAGAAACACTCGGTCTGTACAGATGCCCCTCTCATTTCCATTAACAGCTCCGCATGGAGAAGGAGCTTCATCAGACACAAGTGCTTGGTGTCTCTTGAGACCAGAATTTAATAAGACACAGAAAGAAACCAGGAAAAGCATTCAGCTAGGAGAATCAGAGCCGCTCACTCCGGGCACCGTGCTCTCACGTGTTGCCTTTCTTTTCAAAGGCGCTTAGCTGCAGCGGGAGCCGGCAGCCTCGACATGCAAATCGCCCCACCAACACTTACCAGTGTTTTACTTCAAGCATTGGACATTTTGAACATTTTGCACGATGTGCCACGCAAACTAGCGGAGGCTTGCTATTAAAGCACACACCAGCCCATTCCTCAGCCCAGAGGCAAGCCCAAATCTGACTGACGGAAAAGGAGCCGCTGCACAAGGATGCTAAAACCGGAGCTTACCGGTGCCAAGGGTCCCGTCCTTGTTCAGCCGGACAAGGAGCTGCACCGGCACAGCCAGCCCGGCCGCCGGCCTCCCATCTGTGCTGACCAGCTGCAGCCGCGGCGTGGTGACCGGCGGGAAACGGTAGAACTGGAAGGTGAGGAAGATGGTCCTTGGCCACATCCCCTCCGCGCTGTCCCGGGCATCCCTTGAGGGAGAGAGAGGGGTTTGGGTTAGCTTGTGGCATGGCACTGCCTCCCCATCACGAGCTCCTCGTGCGTTTGGCACACACTGAGAGGCAGAAGAACAAGAGAAGATCATCAGCATCACAAGTATTTGGACTTCTCTGAAGACAGCGGGCATATGGTTTGCCTTGGCTTTCCAAAAAGCTTCGTAATTCCAGCTGTCTCCCACCATATGCTACGACGGAGGAGCCCAGCAAAGGCAGCGTTTTACCTTCGCACAGCACACTGCCATCCACGGAAAAAACACAAGTGGGGCCTTATCCAGCCAAAGCCACCCCCACGGGTGCCAACTTTCTCAACTCCATATGCATTTATGGAGAAACCCTGCATTAACGAGCTTTTATATCACATTGTGGCTAATGGATACAATAAAAAAGACTGGGATATGATTTAAGAGTGCCTGGAAAGGACAAGAGCATCATCGTAAAACCCTCCAGGGCTTTGCCTCCACAGCAGGTGCTGGAGGAAGCAGCACCTTTGCAAGGAGTTCTTCCGCTCAAGCAGGGAAGCGGGTTGGGGGGATTTTGGGAAAGCACTCTCCCCCAGAAGGCCCCTGGGATCTGCCCACAGAAGGCACCGCAAAGAGCTGCCATCCCACCTGCCAACAGCCAGGAACTGCAGGATTATTTCATTGCCTTGCAGAGGGTCGGCTTCCTCCAGCCGCAGGTTGAAACTCGCCGGGTCCACCGGCTGTGAGATTTCCACTGGCTCCTGGTTGCGGTCCAGGATCTCCGGGAAGCCGGCGGCATGCAGGCGTGCGAGGGAGGCACGGGAGAGCAGCGTGCGGGAACTGACGGAGAAATGGGGGTGAGCCGCGCGGACGCGGGGGACCTCAGCAGGCCGGGTGATGGGGGTGCAGGAGCCTGGGGAAGGGCGGCCGAGCATCACCTGCCTGTGGTCGCCGGCGCCGGGCTCTGGGTCCAGCGAGCCGCCTCCAGGCTCCAGGTGAGTGATCCCCGCCGAGAGCCGAGAGCCGTGGCTGCGCTGGGCGTGCCCCCG